CAGGGCGAGGTTAGCTGCCGAGATCCTTGCGGGGGTTCTTGTGCACATGACCATCTGTAGAATTATGTGCACTGTGCTCCCACACTTGCTAGTCTACGAGGTTAGTCTTGGTTATTAGACTTGGATTACATCAGATTATTATTATACTTCGTTGTATTTTTTTATTTGAAAAAAAGAGAAATGCTTTCAACATCTTTGCAACGAGGTATTGTTCATGGGTTGATCTGCGCGTTTTTTCTTTTGTTAAATGGTGAAGGGTTTTGGTAGGTAATATTGGTGAGCGAGGGGTCACTGTCGTTGTGAATGGGTGTGAGAACGAAGATGGTGGTCATCGTTAGGGAACAGTTGAAGTGCATTGTGTGGTCTTTACAGTTCCTTTCTCGTATTTCGTTTTGTTTTTTTGGAAACTGTTTGTACTATTTTTTGGTTCCGAGATTTTTTTTTTTTGTAGAGTTGGGTGGGTTTTGTCCAATCGGGTTGTTGTGATTACCTGCAAGTTGAGATTTTGCATTTTAGTTTTCTGGATTTTGGCGTTGTAGTTCTCGGGCACAGTTGATCAATACCAAGGTATAGCTGTAGCCGGTGTAGGAGTTGGCATGAAGTTGAAGTTGGCATGAACACTTCATGATTGTGCATCCCACGTTGCAGTTCGTATGGTTGCAGTTTGAGAGTTTAGTCCCTAAATAGCATATTGTTTTTGTTGAGAATGTTTAGAAAGACACAAGAGTAGCCAGAAATAATGTGCACACAAAATACACAAACCTCTTGATCAATACACAGTTTATAGGAGAGAGAGGTTCTTGATCAATACACAGTTCATAGGAGAGAGAGGTTCAAAAACCATGTATTGACGTGGTTGTTTCATTTGTATACAAAGAGAAGGGGAGAAAAACAGTTTCTCCCTATTAGAGTAGCTATAGTATTTATTGTAATTATAGTGAATGTTATAGAGAGTGCTGGTTACATTTGTTGCCCTCAATACTCTTCCTCGCTCATCATAATATTTTTATAACATAAAATTTGCATAGAATTATGATTTATACTTTTTTGTAATTTTGTAAGTTCAACTGTTGTTGCCTCATTAAAACCTTATCTAGGAAAATCTTTTTGTATTCAATGGCAAGAACCATAGATGAAGAAAAAAGAATACATCATCATTTTTCTTAATTATTTAAAGAGTTCATTAACTTTCTTGTCCAAAAAAATCAAGTTGTAGCATGCCAATGCCATAAGTTGGCAATGGTTGCATAAAAGGAGAGCTTTGGTGAGGAGATCAACAAGGTTATTTGTAAATTCAATTTTTTTGAACTTAAGTGTTTGATTAATAACCAACTCATGGATATGACTAAAATATTTTTGATCAATATGCTTTGTTCTATTGCCTTTAATAAAACCAACTTGCATTTGTGCAACATAAGCACTACTATCTCATGCAAGATAGTTGGAGAATCATCATTTGAAAGTTCACATGTTGTTTGAATGAGTTTATTAATTGATCGTTATTGCAGTTATTTGGGATTGTCATTTGAGCAACATTTGTTGCGAAAGAAAGTCAATACTATGTTATTGCTTGAAATGGATATATATCCAACCAAATTTATGTAAAGGCTTCAACAATATTTTGTCCAAACTTTTAGTGAATATTTTGAGTGTCATGGATTATTGTGTTATTATTATGTTTGTCATTTTCTTTTGTTTTGGTATTTTTTGCTATTACAAAAGTTTCTAATGAAACTTGTATACACCTTGCTTGCTACTTATGCACCCTACCAACTGCTGCTTCTCCCTCCTACCTTCACATTCATGTTGCCAAACTGCCATTGCCTATGACCAAACTTGTATTGTATTTCAAGACCCGAAATGTTTATAATGAATCTTGATCCTAAAAAATCTTTAGCTGAAATTGAAATTGCGAAGATTTTGTACCTAAAATGGATTGCAAATGAAACACCTAATAGCTTCAATGATACACCTTGGATTACAAGAACTTCCAATAGTGAGGCTCAAAATACACCTACTTAGATTGTAATACCACTAACTAATATATCCTAGATTATAACATCTAAAACTAAAAAGACTCATGGACTAAATAAGCAACCGTATAAGAAGAATGCTATAACATGCATTGATTTTGGTATTGTTTCTTTGGAAATTCCTATTCAACCTATGGGACTATCAATTAATGATGATATGTCCATGCAAATTATATCTTCATCTGATGCAATAGAAATTCTTGATATAAACCAAGTTCAATAAAAACTTGTCTATTCTATATTATGCTACAAACAACATTTGGGATAGACCATCTATTATAATAGATGAATCATTTGCATGCATGATTGTAAAAGCTCTTCTTATAAGAAAGAGGATCTTGAACCTCAAACCATCCAGAAAGCGATGCATCGCTTTGATTGAATAAAATAGAAAAATACCATCAAGAAAGAGTATGCCTCTTTATATAAGAGGAAAGCCTTTGGTCCAATTGTGGATACTTTTACATTTCACTTTGTGGAATATAAGATGGTATTAGTATATAAGCAAGATACTAAGGGTTAAATAATGTGCTATAAAGCTCGTCGTATTACCCAAGGATTTATCCAACGGTTTGGCATTGATTATGAATCTACATATTTTTCAGTCATGGATTTGATTACAATCCAATATATTATTGGAATGATAGTCCATGCCACTTTTAAGATGTCTCTCATAGTTGTGATAATTGCATATCTTTATGGTTCTCTTGACATAGATATTTATATGAAAATTCCACTTAGTTTGGAAAGAATTCCAAATGCACTTACTCTAGGGCAATATCATGGTATTAAATTATATAAGACTTTATATGGTTTAAAACAATCTAGATACATGTAGTATCAACATCTCTGAGATTATTTAATTACAAATAAGTTTGTAAGTGATCCACTCATCCATTGTTTATTTATCAAACAAGATAAAATTGGTTATATGATTATTGTTATATATGTTGATGATCTTAACCTAGTGGATGATAGATTTCCATCTGATTTAGCTACTAATCTACTTATTTGTGAGTTTGAGATGAAAAATGTTAGGAAAAATTACTTTTTATATTGGTCATCAAATTAATCAACTCACAAATGGTAGCATTTTTTTCTACCAACTCGCATATATTAGACAAATCTTGTGGAGATTCAATATGATTGATGCATATTTATTGTCAACACCAATAGTTGGAGGTGGTTGTGATGGTGACAATCCATACCATCTATGCGAGGAGGAAGAAATATTAAAAGATCAGTATCCATACCTTGCGACGGTTGGAGCACTTTTATATTTAGCCACATCTATAACATTGGATATTGTATTTGCAGTTAGTATTCTTCCAAGACACAAAGCACATCCAACACTACGATAATGGAATGGCATCAAACACTTAATATGTTAGTTAAAAGGCATTGAAGACTTAGGAATATATTATAGACGAACTATAGATTCAAAATTAATTGGATATTGTAATGTTGGAAATAATTTGATATTCCAATGACTAAATTTTAAATATGCTATGTATTCTTAAGATATGGAACAATAAAATAATGGAAATCAGTGAAATCAAATATAATTGCAATACCAAAGAAATCGATGAAACAAACAATAATTGGATATTCATCCAACCAAGCAAAAATTATTGCCTCATATAAAGCATCTACAAAACGTATTTGGTTGCGTTCAATTAATAAACTCATTCAAACAACATGTGAACTTTCAAATGATGATTCTCCAACTATCTTGCATGAGATAGTAGTGCTTATGTTGCACAAATGCAAGTTGGTTTTATTAAAGGCAATAGAACAAAGCATATTGATCAAAAATATTTTAGTCATATCCATGAGTTGGTTATTAATCAAACACTTAAGTTCAAAAAAATTGAATTTACAAATAACCTTGTTGATCTCCTCACCAAAGCTCTCCTTTTATGCAACCATTGCCAACTTATGGCATTGGCATGCTACAACTTGATTTTTTTGGACAAGAAAGTTAATGAACTCTTTAAATAATTAAGAAAAATGATGATGTATTCTTTTTTCTTCATCTATGGTTCTTGCCATTGAATACAAAAAGATTTTCCTAGATAAGGTTTTAATGAGGCAACAACAGTTGAACTTACAAAATTACAAAAAAGTATAAATCATAATTCTATGCAAATTTTATGTTATAAAAATATTATGATGAGCGAGGAAGAGTATTGAGGGCAACAAATGTAACCAGCACTCTCTATAACATTCACTATAATTACAATAAATACTATAGCTACTCTAATAGGGAGAAACTGTTTTTCTCCCCTTCTCTTTGTATACAAATGAAACAACCACGTCAATACATGGTTTTTGAACCTCTCTCTCCTATGAACTGTGTATTGATCAAGAACCTCTCTCTCCTATAAACTGTGTATTGATCAAGAGGTTTGTGTATTTTGTGTGCACATTATTTCTGGCTACTCTTGTGTCTTTCTAAACATTCTCAACAAAAACAATATGCTATTTAGGGACTAAACTCTCAAACTGCAACCATACGAACTGCAACGTGGGATGCACAATCATGAAGTGTTCATGCCAACTTCAACTTCATGCCAACTCCTACACCGGCTACAGCTATACCTTGGTATTGATCAACTGTGCCCGAGAACTACAACGCCAAAATCCAGAAAACTAAAATGCAAAATCTCAACTTGCAGGTAATCACAACAACCCGATTGGACAAAACCCACCCAACTCTACAAAAAAAAAAAATCTCGGAACCAAAAAATAGTACAAACAGTTTCCAAAAAAACAAAACGAAATACGAGAAAGGAACTGTAAAGACCACACAATGCACTTCAACTGTTCCCTAACGATGACCACCATCTTCGTTCTCACACCCATTCACAACGACAGTGACCCCTCGCTCACCAATATTACCTACCAAAACCCTTCACCATTTAACAAAAGAAAAAACGCGCAGATCAACCCATGAACAATACCTCGTTGCAAAGATGTTGAAAGCATTTCTCTTTTTTTCAAATAAAAAAATACAACGAAGTATAATAATAATCTGATGTAATCCAAGTCTAATAACCAAGACTAACCTCGTAGACTAGCAAGTGTGGGAGCACAGTGCACATAATTCTACAGATGGTCATGTGCACAAGAACCCCCGCAAGGATCTCGGCAGCTAACCTCGCCCTGGTACCGGAGTGTGAATAGGCTGCTCGCTGTGATTACACACCTATCAATTGCGATTTCCGTGGAAGTCCTACCTATGTCTCTCTGCGGGGCCTGCGGCGGGCACTAACCCCCTCCTTCTCTATCTCTCCTGCTTGCTCTTGCTCTGCTTCCTCTACTTGTTCCCCCTTAGGCACGGACACATCATCGGCGGTCACAAGATCCTCCTTCTTAATGGCCCCAGTCGTGACCTGAACAAGTTGCACTCAAAAGCTCCTCAGATACATCAAAGTTAAAATGTTAAAACACGAAGGACATGGACACAAGGCTACCGTCGTAAACTCTCTGTTTATCATCTATTGACTGTGCAAGCACTACACAGAGGAAAGGACAAGGAGACTCTTTGACACAGAAAAATTAGGAGCCGACATCATTCCGACGTATTTGTGTACTGAAATTTGCACAGCTGCGATACAGATGAACACACACACACACACACACACACACATGAAAGCAGGTCTGTAAAGCAACGTACAGCGGGTGGTGATTTCTTCTTTCCGAGGCAAAGACTGAACAACATCGTGAAGAGAAGCACGGGGATGGTTGCCAAAACACCAAGGGTGACGTTGGGATTGCTCTCAGCCTTGTCAAGTACAGCCTGTCGATAAGAAAGACAAACATGCGCTTCAGAACCCTTGAGGCTACGTCCTAAGCATAAAATCGGCGGTGCCAAAAGAATCTGCTCGAGCAATCGAAAAAGAAAACTCGCGACAGGCACAAATAATGACACGGCAGGATTGAAGGACTTACATCGATCTGCTCCTTGTACTTGGCAAGGAATGGAACCTCTGCAATCTTATTCAGAGCCTCGAAGACCTTCTCCTGATGAAGGAAAGGCAAGCCAACACACACAACCTAATCAGAACGTCCATCATACAATCCAACAGTAATCTTCAACGTGTTCATCTCACCGTCGAAACCAAAAATCGCTTTCGAATTTCCCGGCAACCCTCACTCAAGAGAAATGTTTACACAAACCTTGATGTTGTCTACGCTGGTCTTATCAGCCTTATCGTCAGACTTCTTCGCCTCAGCTGCCTCTTTCTCCTTCTCGACCGTGTGCTTTGGTTCCCAAGTGGTCTTCCTGTACTCCTCAGCGACCGCTTCGTCGTGTGCGACTAGAATGTTGTCGAAGAAGATACCATCCTGCATGGTCCAGATCTCGATACCAATGGCAGCCACTGCTTCCAAGTTGAGCTTTTCCAGCTCGAAGTACTCAGGGTTGGGAATCTGCCTAGGTGCCCAGATGCCCTGGTAAGCTGGGTTGTCGATCATTGGTGCCCTCCACTTGCCCTTGTAAGCAGGGTTTGCCTTCAAGGGACGCTTCCACTCACCACAACCAGGACCCTCCTCACATTTGGGGTTGGTGATCTTGGGAGGTTCCCATTCGCCATCTTCCTCATCGTCCCAGTCCTCGGGCTTCACAGCTTCGGGATCGTCAACTTCATCAGGCTCGTCATCCAACCATCCCTGCATTGCAACCACCACGGGAGAGCACGAGTCAACACGCGCAACAGCTTGAGTTGCTCTGTATCTCATCGATATGAATCTACAAATCCTAGCACACGAGCACCATTCCATCGATATAGTCAATAAACCTCTTCGTCCACAAAAATAACCCATACCTCAGGCTTCTCGGCTTCCTCGTCTTCGATCTCTCTAGGAGCGTCCTCATCCCAGTCATCAGGCTTGGTGGCATCAGGGTCGGGAATTTTGGCACGATCGTCCCAATCCTCAGGCTTCTTATCTTCTGGGTCGGGAATCGTCTTTGCGGGGATGACTGTTGGTTCAAACTCTTCAGACAGCAGATCAGCCGTTTTCTTCTCCTCGCCATCAATCAAGATTCTGAGAGTGTTGTTAGGATAGATAATGGCTGTGTAGACATGAGACAGCTTGTCGCCAGCGGGAACAGGGGGATTCTTCAAATGGTGCTCCACGTATTTCCCGGTGGTTGGGTTCTTGTGCCGGAAGATGAAGTGAACCTTGTTAGTGGCCCCACACTTGTCCGGACCAAACATTATGGAGTAGGGGGACTCGTTGTTGAAGTCGTTGGCCGTCCACCCTGCTTCCTGTAAAGTACGGAGAAACGCTTCCCACACTGAGCACATCTTTGTGAAGTGAAAAACTCAGTCCACACCTAAGTACAACCCAAACGCCATGGAAGACCAGTTGGACGCTCTGCCTGATTTGGCAAGCCCTACCATCGGCCAAGATCTCTCCCGAATCTCACCTGAGGTTGAAGAAACTTCAAGTAGGCACCACCGCACTCAAGTCCATTCTGAAGCCTCAGGTCGTACTGAAGAACAAGAGATCCATCCTTCGGATCAACCTTCTCAGGCAAATCGACGGCTATGCCATACTTCTTAGCTTTCTCGCTGACCAACAGTCCGTAATCATCGTGACCGTCGCTCTTGGCATGCTTCCATGTACCTGAAATACAGATAAGTTCAGCCCCCTTTGATTGCTTGTCGCACGCAACCACAGCGCTCCGACCATATCACCACTCTGTCTGGACAAAGCGTTTTCTGTTCAAACTGAATCAATACAAACAGAAAGAACCACGGCGATGAATACCTCCGTAGTCGCTATTTTGAGAGACGACCCATCGCCCTTCGAAGTCCTCGTCGAAGTTCTCATAAAACACCTGCCACACAAGAGAAAGCTTGTGCATTTGAAACCACGACGTTTTGACTGCATTCGGACATTTCAGTCCCCACACTCGATCCTCAACCACCGGCAAATGCCAATTCAGGAACAAGGCCCATCCCTAATCACTGGTTGAACCTTTCGAATGAAAGGGCAAGTGGCTAAACTATTCCTTCACGGTTGCACGAGTCACAAAAAATGCATCAGCACAGTACTTCCACAGGCTGAGTAATCCAGAATTCCGACAGCACGAATACGCCAATCCCATACAGCGAGCTTTCTGAAATGAAGTGTCGAGTATTTCAACCCCGGATTGTCGTTTCGAAGCCGTCCTTGTCCAAGCGAATCGTGCCGAATTCAGACCAAAACGTGCAAACATTTGTGTACCTGTAGCGACACGGTATCTAGTCGCACCAACTACCGACCTAACTACGCCTCAGCCCAAGATCGAACCCACGGATCGCCCTCTTATTGAAACCATAGGTAGAAGCAACTGCCACACAATCCGACCACCACAACGGCGGCCATGACTGATCCATCAGCGTCAGGCCTGACAGACAAGACCTCCGCACATGGGCTACCACAGACGTTCAGGTACGTGACAACCAACAGCGCACGCACTTCACGATCTGTGAGTATGAGGAAAAAGTCCCCGGCACTGTGGGAAACCGAAAACAAAAAGAACAATTTTCTGTAAAATAAATCAAAGCGTTACCGAGACGCACCTTCGTATGATGGAAGCGGAAAACCCAGGAACACCGCACCACAGACGAGGGACAAGTATATCTACCTCTTTCGACAGAAAGACGGAATAATGAGACTCAAGAAGGCACTGTCCAATCGCCTATACCAGAAGATGGGGGCGGGGGGATTACTCAAGAAAAAAAAAAAACAAAACAAAACAAAACAAAACAAAACCAAACCAAACAAAACCGAAATAAAATAAAATAAAAAGACTCGAAGAACAGAAGAAACTGACGCAAATAGTACTACCAGAACCTTCCCGCAATGCGGGCAAGAAGCAACGCTCGAGTAAACCCAATTGGCAAAAGTAAATCACTGACAGATAGCGATGCAGCTGCATTCTTCACTCGCGCGGGAAACAAATCGCACCTCGATGACAATACACGCAGCACGACCATGCAACTCTCCCGCATCACCGCCCCACAATCTCACTCAAACTCTCAGCCCCTCCGAAACATCGCGTCGGAAGGACAGGACAACGAAACCAAAGATACCAGCTCATCATCTACGAGCTTCACGGACCACTCGAACGATCCGCCCACGCCGAGGGGGAAACCGGCCCAGCACCAGTATCAGCGCCAAAAATCGTGAGCAAAACCGACAGCACACGAAATCAAACGAGCCGGAATGCAAGAGCAGAGGCGTACCGTGTCAGAGAGCGAAGCGGCAATGGCGAAGCAGGCAAAGAGCACCAGCAATCCAAATCCAGCCATTCCACGCGACGCCATGGACAGCATCGGAGAGGACCCGCCCGATCGCAGCGTGGTCGGAGTCGGCACGCGGGGTCTGCAATCGCTGCTTGATTTTGCCGAGGGTGAGGCCTTCTTCGCCAGGCTTTGGAGGCGGAGGAGCAAAGCCCGACGGACGCCCTAACGCCGGCCCCGCTGCGTTCATCGCCGTGGACGACATTCGTCGACCCTCGGATGACAGCATCGGGGAGGACACAGGGACGCCCCACTGGGAGCACTCACAGAGCGCGGGCACCGTTCCAACCAGATGGACGAAATCCCTCCACGAGCAGCGTGGAGTTGAAGTTCTGGAAGTTTCCCGAGAACACCAGTCGCCACCACAACCAGAGAGTCGCGATGAACGTCTGTCGTCGCCTCCGTTTGCGCTGCTCCTGCCCGTCGGTACCCGGACGGACGGACAGACGCGAGGGATTTGGCGCCATGGGAATGACAGCGTGGACAGAGGGTGTGGGGTCGTCGTGGCTCCAGCCAATGGGTGAGCAGGACGCGCGTGTGGGAGCCAATGAGATTGGCTTTTCTCTTCTCTGCTCTGTTCTTTTTCCTCTTGTCTTTCACTTTTCTTTCTCTTTCTCTTTTTCTGAACATGGATGGAGGTCCGCCCAAGTTTGCAGGGAAGTAGGGTTTAGCATCAGATGATGATGATGGTGATGATGATGGTGATGATGGTGATGCAAGGAAGTCCCATGCATCATGCCCACCAATTTCTTTCTCTATCTCTGTATTTCTTTCATTCCTTCTTTTAGATTCTTTACAGAAACAATCCTCGCAGTATCTTATTTGCACTTTCCTGAATCAATCCCTCCCTTTCTCTCCTGTGCATGTCATGTTGTTTGCCAGGCATTTCCAACTGCAATCCTCAGTTTTATTTTACTTTTTAGCTAAGTTTGAGTCAGTGTGGTTGTTAGCACCCATCCTGTCATTTGCTATTGGATCAATTCCTCTGGCTGATGTGGATCTCATGGCCTGGTGGATTTTTGCAGAGAGTTGGAATCTGTTGGTGTTGTATGCACTACTTGTACAGCTTCCATGTTACAAACATGAACAACATTATTGTTCTTGAAGTCATGTTCCATTCATACTTGTACTGTGGATCATACATATTTTGTTCTCTCAAATCCATCCAAGCTCCACATGGATGGGTAAGATTATTATCATCTAAAATGCAACAGTTTTTGTGATGTTTGGTATTGGAAATCACATGTCTTACCTGCAGGGTGTGATTTCAATGTCCATGAAGTTGGTTGAGTTTGTCCTTTATTTTAGATACCTCCAAGAGGTGTCAGAGTTGTGACCCCAAAATTTGGTTTAGGGTATTACACCTGGACTTTTGGATTTCATTCATGTTTTTTATAAGACCTTCATCCTTAGCTTTCATATATATATATATTTATTTTTATATATCATCAAGTATTCTGAACTTGATATTATATACCTTGAATCTGGAGGAGCCTTGATCTTGATATTTTCTTGTGAGCTGTAAGTTTATTCTGTTTCCAGTTGATTTTTGTATTGTTTTTTTATTTTCTTTTTTTCGCTATCTAAGGATGTGTTGTCGGTTTTTTTCTTCTTGTTTTGTTTGTTTGTTTGTTTGTTTGTTTTTTTTCTGTATTTAAGCAGGTTTTTTGCTGTGCACATTGCCTTGATAATGCTTAAGATTTATCTCTTTGATGTTTGTTATATAATAATTGGACACATGAACCACAAAATTTGAAGTTTTACAAATCTGAATATTCTGAATTAAATTTTTAATTATGGGTACATATATTCAGTTGGTTTTTAGATGTTTTATTGTGTTTAGAGATACTTATATGTGTAGTTGAAAATGTGTTGCCTTATAAGTAGCTTGATCTTTTTTTTTTTTTAATAACTTACAAGTCATATGTGAATTTATTCATACAAAGTATGTTTAATTATTATTTTATTTAGGCTACTGTCGTGTCTTTGTTAACTTACAAAATTTGAAAATTTTAATTTGAATATAAATTTTATTAAGTGGCTGAGAGAGGTTTGATTGGTTTTCAAATGTCACTTGAATATATGTTGTTATTATTAGTATTGGTACTGTCATAAACATTGTGTGTAAATAACCTTAGATTTATTAATTACTTGTCTAGTTTCATATAATACTTGAAACTGGTATTGTGTTTAAGTGTAAGTTAGAGTTGATATTGAATATTATATTAATGTAACTGAACATTGTTTGCAAAGTCATTGTAATGATTATTCACATCTTATTTACTGATCTGTTTTGAACTAATTGCATTAATATGTAATTAGTTTTTATTATATTTTTACATCAAAAATTAGTACCAGAAATACAAATATATATATATATATATAGTAATTTAAATTGACATTTTTTCATATTTTAATCAATTTTATGAATTTTTGTGCATATTTATAGATAATTTTATTAATGAATTCACAAAATTAAAATTTACAAATTTTATTGCTGCATATATATATATATATATATATATATACTACTGCATTTGCACTATACATTTAGAGATTACTATAGAATTTTTTTTATTATTATACAACCATTGGATAATCAACTACAATTAATTTATATTATATAATGTTTAAGCAATTTTAATACCTGTATCATTGTTGTTGTTTGTTTTTTCCAAGAAGATATAGAGTCATTTTTTTGTTGGGTCTGAATTCATTTTGTCAAATTATATAAAAATATCCAATTCATCTGCATTAGGTTTGATTGACATTAATAAATACCATTAAAAATATGTTTTTACTTTTACTATCTTCTTTTGCATAAAGCATATTATAGAAAACATCTTGACATACTACAAGAAATAGTTTGGCTATGAGTTGGAAGTAGGTTGGTCTTTATTTCTTACAAATTAGACCAATGTAATAAATGCTCCTTTGAAGACTTTATAATATTGAGTGGGTTATCATTTCCACCAAGTATACTTCCATAATTGCCTAAGTAGTTATTGAGTATTTGTAAAATACTTGGATACTACAGAAAATATGTTTTGTTCAAGCTTAGATAAATAATTATCTTTATTTTAAAAATATAACTACATCTTAAGTTGAAAGTCAACATTCAATTCTCTTATCATATTTAAAATTATCTATTAAAGATTTATTAGAGATATAAATTTGTCTCTTTTACTTTTTTGAAAATACAATAAGAGAAATTATTGGCCAAAAAAGTTTTAAAATAACTTCTATATGTTATCAATATATTATTTATTTTGCTCAAATATTATAAAAGAATTGCCTATCTATGCACTTAACATTATCTTTGAGCAATTTAATTGTAAAATGTGCTAATGAATGTTAACTCTTGCATAAGCACATTGAGAAAGACATTAGAAATATCATGTAAGCATAAGATTCAAAATATTCTATATAATGGATATATTTTAATAGTAGAATATTTTCATTCTTAATATTATTTGGTGAATACTTTTGCTTTAATATCTCCATTACTACCATTGAATGTATTTATATCTTTTAAAGATCTTCACATTGATTTTAATATTGTTGCTTAAACATTGAAGTTGCTACTCCTCTTATTAATAAGAAAGAATGCATATTCAACTATTGGAGCTCGCATTGACAATTGTGAGGTTAAAAAAATTTAATAGTTAGTCATCTAAAGGGCTAATAGTACAAAGCATCTAACTATATAAGATAATTTGGTATAAAATTGTCTATCTAATATAAACCTTCACAATTCAAAGTTGTTGAAGTATTAGTAACTATCTTTCTATGCAAAAATTGTAAAAGTTGCAGCCACAATGTGCGCATTTGTCTTCCTCAAATTATTGTATCTTTACAACTTTTTATAAGTACATCAAAGATATAATAAAGTACATAATAGCTATGAATAGATTCTTATTTTAAAAAAAAACTAGCTTATATACAAGTTGTAAAAGATGAGGTTATTGAGTGATATGAAGGAGGATTCATGATCATAATTGTCTAAGATGTTTTTTTTTTTTTTTTTTTTTTTTTTTTTTTTTTTTTAATTCTTGTAATTTTTTTAAATGTTTACATTTATTTGGCACATTTAGACTTATTTACATGTGTAGATTCATGTATTATCTTCAAATATAATATAATATTATAAATAGTTGATGTATGCATTCTTGTATTGAGAAGGATATATTTTAAATGTTTAAAAAAAAATTATATTTTATAGAGATCTATTTTTGTATGACAAAGAAATCTAACTTTAATTGAAACAAGACCAAACAATCTTAGAAACTCAAAATCCTTCTAATCCACAATAATGTAAGGCCTTATTACAAAATAAGACAAAAAAAACTAGAACAAAACTCAACAGAATTAAACAGAATTAGATATGAAAGATAAAAATGAGTAAACAAAAATAAAACAAAATAAAATAGAATAGATCTGAACAAAAAGATGCAAAATCAAACTTTACTAAGAGAAAAGGGTCTGAAGCCATACTTGACCAGATGCCTCAAAAGGCCCTAGCTACTCCTATTTATATCTTGTCCTACCACCCTAGACCTTCTAGAATGTTCTTAGGTGGTAGGTCATACCTAAATGACCGCCTTAAACTCTTTTCTAGAAGGATTTGTGGTGGATCCTATCTATATAACCACCCTAAGCTTTTTTTAGAAGATTCAATGATAGACCCTACTTAAGTAACTATCCTAAATCTTTTCTAAAATATTCCACAGTAGATTTTACTTAGTCCATTAATCTAACTTCAATTCTAGAAACTTTCATGGTTCTAATTATCTATATAATTATCTTATCTATACCTTGTTACAGTTAATTCCCTTCTACTAATATGGAATAGTCTTGTTTTGATCTCAATGGTATCTTTGAATTGTCTCTTGACAATGGATGAGGTTTTGTACAAGTTTCCATGTTGCATTGTGAATGGGATAACCTTTCCAAAGAACTTTGTACTAAAGTTGTGCACGTCCACTGCCGTGGCAAAGGTAGCGATGTTCCAAAATGCTGTCCACTTCATATTCTTATTGGTCATCAATTACAATTAGTGGTGGTGGTGATTGATGTCGATCCAGAAAGCACTTTAGTTTGATATGAAATTCTTTTAGTTATGAAACATGAAAGACTAGATGGATCCAAATATGTGGCAGAAGCT